GCAGCGTTGTATATTTGGCTCATTGATCTTTCCCTAGTGCCAAGAACAGTGTCTGGCACACAGTAGGCGCTCTATAAATATTTGTCAAAATTAATGAAGGAAGAAAATCAGAAAACATAACAAATTAATACTGAGAAATATACCAAATATTAAATTAGAAATCACTCAGAAAGTTTTCAGTGCATAATGTGCTCTGCAACTTTCACAATATTGCTAGTGCTCCACAAGAAATAACTCACCAAAGACAAAAATATAACTGAATTACAGAACAATCTAACTACAGTCCTACTCTTGTTACATTTAGAAACCGCAATACCATTACAAGTAATTTCCAGACATCATTGTGTATCCCCAGCAGATTTTATCCCAGATTAAAAAAAAAACATAGAAAATTCAGAAAGGTACACGTACAGATTTTTTGTTATGTAAAAATCCAAACTTCTGTAGAGATTTTAATATGTTCTGTCTGTTGTTGTTGTTGTTAGGTGCCATCAGGTTCAGTCTGACTCATAGGGACCTAATGTGACAAAGCAGACCTGCCCATGGGTTTCCTAGGCTGTAATATTTACTGGAGCAGATTTCCACTAGGGAGGGGCTGGCGGGTTCAAACCACCGAGAGCACTCAATCATTGTGGCACCAGGGCTCCTTATGTTCTGTCTTACAACTCCCAATTTTATACTATATGGTGAGATAATAACAGAATAAAACACATAATCACCTTTCAAAATTAAAACCCACAAAAACTGACCCTGTTTACCACAAAAGATTTCTCTCATTCTAGAAAGGATCATCCTGACTTTAATTTTTTAGTTCTCAAATTATAGTACACATTGCCGTTTGTTCAAATTTCAAGGTTTAATATTTTTAAGTCCTCCTATGGGAATCATTTGCAATTTTCAATTATAAATCTTAAATTTTTAAATTTTTATTAAAGAAAATAGATACTGAGGGTATTGGGGTCTCAGCTGGTTGGGCAGGAGCCAGTGGGGAATACGTGACCTCAGAAGCCATGACCTCAAGCCAAGATTCTAAAATTAACTTCTCCAGGCCCAGAAAGAAAATTTCCTTCAAAACCTTTAGCTTTGAAGGACTATTTAATAACCATTATTCTGGGTATATTCCCATATGAAAATTCTACCATCACTTCCATCCAGGGCCTTGAACTGGTTCGTTCTGGTTTGAACGCTTGCTGAGAATTTGCATTTCCACCCCAGATATACTGAAGCAGAAGCTACAGTTTAACAAAGATCCTCAGGTGATTCTTATGTATAAAAAATTTTAAGAACCACTGCTCTACTAGTGGTTCTTAGAATTGGTCCCTAACCAGCAGTATTAGCATCTCCTGGGAACTTTTTAGGAATGCAAATTCTCAGCAGGCATTCTAACTAGAAGCCTTGCTCCCATCAAATCTTTTTGCTCCAGGCTAGCATGATAGCCTTTTCCTAAATAAATAAACAAATGCCTGAAATAAATTTTTTAAAAAATGATTTAAATACTAATCACAAAATTTAGCAATTTAAAATACAATTCACTTAATAAAGCCCTCTAAATATTCTTGAAACCATCCCTTTCAGTATATTTGGGGACTAGATATCATCCTGGAAATAATAAAATTTACAGCATTTTAATCTGACCTTTAAAAAATAATCTAGTTAACAACCCAGTATTAGCAATGTTTTCTGGAAGATTATTTTTGAAGAGCAAATAAATTTAAATTTGTTATAATATTTCCTAACTATCTGGGCTTCCTGCTAATCTCAGCAATATCTTCTTCAAGGTAAGTGATGGGAAAAGAACAATGTAAGAGTTTTGAGAATAAGAAAGTAACTTTAACAATCTATCTTTGTATTCCTCTCTGGGTGGGGTAAAGTTCTTATTAGTAAATGACTTCGATGAGTTGGAAATAAAAATTCAGAGTTTTTGGGAAATTAGAATATCAATCTACTTCACCATAAATCACGACTATGGTTTTAGTGATAATAAGGCTATTCAGATGATAGGAAGAGATAAAGGTAGTTGTAAAGAAAGTTGCAACTTCTTTAACTAAATAAAACCCCAGTTTCTCTAATGTTGGCAATGATGAGAGAATCACAACTTGAAAGAGGTTTTTCCATGCCTGACTCTTGTCTCCTAGGATTCCCCTTGAGGCTATCGCAATAATCACCGCCACTACAGTGCCAATTTAACCATTTTACATTCTGGTCCAAGCATGGACATCTTTCATCTCTTCCCTTAACAATCCAGAGCATAGCCAAGAAAAATCTTCAAACTTCCAAAAGATTTATAGCAAGGCTGTTGCTGTTTTATGTGCTGTCAAATCGATTCCGACTCACAGCGACCCCATCGGACAGAGTAGAACTGCCCCTATAGGGTTTCCAAGGCACGGCTGGTGGATTCAAACCGCCAACCTTTTGGTTAGCAGCGGAGCTCTTAACCACTGTGCCACGAGGGCTCCATACCAAGGCTAGCAAAATGCAAAAAGGGGAAATAAGTAGTCTGGAGCCCTGGTGACGTAATGGTTAAGAGCTGGATGCTAACCAGACGGTTGGCAATTCAAATTTACCAGCCGCTCCTTGGAAACCCTATGGGGCAGTTCTACTCTGTCCTATGTCGTTAGGAGTCTGGATCAATTCGACGACAGCGGGTTTGGTTTGTTTGTTTGTTTTTTAAGATGTAATTACAAAATCTGATTTGCCCTGTAGAGCTTTTAAACCTTGTCCTGTCCTACTTTTTAGCTGACTACCATCTGAATGGCATCTTATCACTGTGGAATGAACGATATCATTGCTGATGTCAACATAGTTATACACTTGGTTTAACTATATGCTGTAACTAGACACTATATACTGATGACTCAAATACACATCTTCAGCCCAGACTTCTCCTGAGTTTCTAACCTTTATATCCAATATTCAACTCAACTCCATGCCCTGCCAGGATGTGGGATAACCCTTAAACTATAATCAAATTAAACTCATCATCATCATCTACAAACCTGCTCCTCCTCCTATAGTACTCTATTCCAGTTAATGGAATTACTATTCTTCCAGCCACCTAAGAAATCCAGGAGTCTTCCTTAACTTCTAACATCCTTCTCAGCCCACAGTGTCAGTTTTCAAAATATTCTAGACACCTCTTATATCCAACCCATTCTTTCTATTCCCAAAGTCAATGTCATGTTCTTGACTGTCATTTGCCAATAGAACTTTACTAGAAGTTCTGCCTCCATTCTGACTTCATTACCACTGGTGAAGTCTTTTTAAAGTGCAAATCAGATGTCATTTCTATACTCAAAACATTTCTGTGACTCTCTGATATCTGTGTTTTAAATAAGACAAAGCAGTCTTCTTTACACGGCATAGAAATACCTCCATATTCTGACTCGTTTACATTTTCTAATTTTCTACTATTTCCTGCCTCAACCTTCCTATTCTACATGCCATTTATTCAGATTTACTTAATATTCTGTGAACATGCTATGCTTTTTCATACTTTTTGGCCCACTCACACTGCTTCCTCTGTAATATTCTTCTTTGACTTACTCACCCTATCCCTTTCTTCACCTTAAAATTTCTATTCATCCTTTGAGACCGAGTTTAAGCATCCTTCCTCCATGAAACCTTCTCTGACTTTCCCAAGTACAGTCATTTACTCACTCCTCTAGATCAGATACACCTGTATAACACTAACCATATTATAGCACAATTACTTGTTTACAGCTCTGTCTCCATTAGATTAAGCTTATTGACTGAAGGGATCACGTCTTCTTTATCTTTGTATTTCCTATCCTCGTGCCAAGCAACAGTATTTAGTAAATGTCCAATGGCTAGTTGTCTGGATGAATGGCTAAAGGTGGCTCTACTACCTTTCCTTGGGGACAGTGATGTAGTGGTAGAATTCTCACCTTCTATGCAGGAAACCCAGGTTTGATTCCTAGACAATGCATCTTAAGTGCACCTACCCCCCCATTTATCAATCTAGGTTTGCCTGTTGCTATGATGCTGAACAGGTTTCATTGGAGCTTCCAGACTAAGACAGACAAGGAAGAAAGGTCTGGTGATCTACTTCTGAAAAACCAGCCAATGAAAACTTTATGGATCACAATGGTCCAATCCCATTGTGCATGGGGTTTCCATGAGTCAGGGGCTGACCTGACAGCAGCAACTAACAACAAAAACAATGTTAATATATAGACTTTGTGATTACTATGTTACTCAGAACACTTTCTGTTTGTTGAGGTTTTGGCTATGTTCCTCATTTGACATTGCAAGAGTCTGATTTCTGGATAAATTAATTGTTTACTGGACTGTGTAACTTTATTATACCATTCCAACTGTGGTCAAAATGACTGAAATACACTTTTCCATTATGAGCTGTATACCTATGAGTAAGTCAGGTTACGTGTATCCCCTAAACAAAATGTTACTTTTTCCTGATCATATGTCTCTTCAAAATTCTCTACCTCCACTCACAATACTTTATTTATCTGCCTTAAATCCTTTGTGGAATAGAAGTTAAAAAATATACACACGCACTTTGCTTTAATATCAATATTTTATTTCCACATTAAAACACACACCCAGTTGTTACACATATACCCATATTGTTACAATTTTTCTTGGTTATATTTTCACACTGATTTAATTATTACAAATTTAACCTCAAGTATATGTAGGAATTTTTCTGATTTTACATTAAGCAAGTCTTAAGTAAACTACATTGCAATTGTGGCTATGAGAGAGTTCCAGATTTCCAATCTAATGACACAGTGATTTTCTTTAAGCTCCATTCATTCATCTAGCTCACTTCCTGGTCCACAGTCTCTCTGCTTTCCATACGCCCCTCTCAGTGGGTAAGATTTGTAGTTTGTTTCCCTGAGGTGAAATTAGTGTTTTCTTATACTTCAGACACTGATCTCAAAATCAAGCATTAATTGGTATGATACTAAAAATACAATATACTTTTTGTATTGCTTTTCAGAGTGATGAAATCTCCTTACCTGTTTCGACTGTGATAATCGTAGGATGGTAGGGAATTCATCTTTAAACTCGTCTACAAGGTCCATGATTACTTTCTGGAGCCCCTCGACTAAGACAAAAAAAAATGTGGGGGGGGGGAGTTTAGCTAAAAATATCCATATATACAATTTAACCTAACATGGAACACCGGATCCTCCTCCTGGGTGACTGGGAACACAAGGAAACATGTGGGACTTGATCTGTAGTTTCCCACACCCATATACCCTTTACAACAAAATTGCGTATACTTTTTCCAGAGAAGTTCTTCAACACCTGCCCGCATATCCACCCAACAGGTTTGATTGGCATGATCAGTTCTTGCTTGGGTTCCTAGCGCTTAGCAAGCCTGTAGGCCTGGGCAATGCTTGTCCTACTCTGCCATTAGTGAGGGATGAGGGTAACCTTCCACTCAGGAAAGTAGGCAAGAACGGAACCTGCAGCTCACTGCTGGAATAGAATTGTTACTGCACAATGGGCTTCTGGGAACTTGTTACACAATGTTCTGAAATCACTCTGGCAGTAAGAGGAAGGAGAGTGTGTTTGGAGGTATAAAACAGGGAGTAAGAGGATTGAAAACTAAACACACTAAAGAATTCTACAATATAAGTTGAATTTTATCCCAAATTCTGCAGCAATACCTCAATTAATGGATCATCTGAGAACAAAGCCCCCTTTGAAAACAGTTGGCATGTGCTTTAAAAAAATGCTTCACATATGATGCCAAATAGAAAAGAAATACCAGAAGATAATTCAAAATGATTTCTGAACAGATTACTCTTCTTTCACCCAAATAAAGATCATAGGTCAAACCCAGGCAAAATGGTGAAGTCTTTGGTTTGTCTTTATAGTCTTGATCTTTTTTTTTATTTCCATCTTTGACCCTCCTACTACTCTCCCACTTCAGATGTCTATTATTTTCCCCTTATCAAGCACAGGAAGAATTTGATATCATGTGTACTTGACTGACAACCTAGTTATAGGTTAGTGCGGAAGAGTTAAGAGTTAGTTAACTCAAATTCCATTGTAATTTTAAGCCTTTGTATTTAATTGCAGCTAAAACATTTTCTTCATCAAGTGTAAGGCTGTGGTTGCTGGAGGTCAATTCATGGAAAATATTTGGGAAAGAGATGCCGGGCTTTGACATTGTCCTTAGTTCATAATCTGCCTGAGAACACTCTTCACCAAGCACCAACACTACACCCACCTCTCCTAACTTTAACAAAACCTGCTTCCCTCCATCATGACTTCAATGCTTAAAATAATTTTGCCCTTAACATTTGGAAAGTACAATCCACTGCCAGAAAGGAAGTCTTATTAGACAATGGTGAACACAATGGGAGTCAATAAGACAATGAAACATTTTTTTTAACTTGTCCTACCAAGACCTTATCAGAGTCTACCTCACAGGAGGGCCTGGTAGCCCCTTAGCTCTCTGGTCTTCTTTCCTGTTCTACATTCCCACAAACTCCCTAGTTCTTTTTATTCATTGGCCCACCCCTCAGTGGTCTAGCTCCCAGTAAATTGGTTTCACCTGGTTTTCTTAATTTATCTGCTCGCTCCCTCCTAGGCATCCTATGGAATTAACAACTCTACAAGAAAAATCTTTCATACTAACATTTACCACTACTTAGAGCATAACCTGACTGTGTGTGTTACTCTAACGAAGTCCTTTTGGTCTTTTCTTACTTAATGACCTTCTTCCTGGAAGAGGAATGGTGAAAAAAGAAAGGGAATGATGGAGCAAGACAATCTCACCCTGCCACACTTATTTTATATTTGTGACGATATCTGATAATACTTTAGTTTGTATTTAATTATGTTTTTTATACCTATATCCTTATGCATCTCATGTTATTTAGTTTCAGGAAATAAAATTAAACAAAATACCAATGTCAGTGGTCATCCTCTTTATTATATTATTCTGATGGCTCATAATAGAGTGCTACATACTTGTAAAATAAATTAGGAAACAATTATAAATATCTCTAAATAATTTTTATAAAAGTTCTACAGACTTATGTGTATTTAAAGGCTATAATACAGAAAAAAAGAAACTTTTCATTTGCACTTAGCACTTAGCTTTGAGAAAATAATCATTGTACATAATGCAATCGAAGGCCTTTATACGGCTGTTGTTGTTAGTTGCCATTGGCACTCAGTAAATATTTCCTAAATGAATACAATAAAATCTGTCAACTATGTCTCAGGCAGGATGAAAAACTTTGTCATTAGCAAGTTCAGCATGGATTCAGTCAGCTAATATATAAATGCAGAACACATAAGACACATACACACACAAAGTTTATCAAATATTATGGAAAGGAGACTTTTCCCCACCACATACAAAGGACTACATTTTTATTTATTTTATCCATCACAGTGAACACTGGCTTATGTGACATGTTTTCCTCACCATCAGTTTCCAGAAGTTGTTCCCTTACTACTACCTAAGTATTTCTGTCTTCAGTGGTTAAGTAACCAAGAGGATACCCTGGTATTTGATCCTCATTCTACAAAATATTCTTTAAATGGGCCTATATTTCATGTTGATGTAGAATATTCCCAATAGGATTCAATATGTCAAACACATAAAAATGCTCATTTTATTGTTATACTAATACTGGTTTTGGTAATTTGCAATTATTTTCCTTATAGTGTAGGATAAAAACACTGTTTGATTAACAATGTTGGAAATCAAGAATTTCAGTGTAAGAGAAAAAAAACAATTATAAATCAAAGAACAAAGTAAAATATTATAATTGAATTAGAAATATCATGAACTAAAAAAAATAATTTTTTCTAGCTTTAGCAGCTGAGATGGACTAGAAGCATTGCCAACCCAGTGAAAAAAGCACCTTGATACTTAGATAAGAGCCCTGGTAGCACAGTTAAAGTGCTTGGCTACTAGCTGTAAGTTTGGCAGTTTGAACCCACCAGCTGCTCTGTGGGAGAAATATGCAGCAGTCTGCTTCCATAAAGATTTATAGTCTTGGGATAAAAGAAAACTAAAAAATTTACAAGGAACCAGACAAGTTCTGTAAATGACAAAAACGTCAGAACAATAAAAGAGGGAATAAACAGTGAGATACAGAACTTTCAAATGGAGAGGAAGTCAAGGCTATACCAAGCAATAAAAGACGGGCTCAAACTTAGGAAGATAGGGGTAAATTTCAAGGTAATCCCAAAGAAAGTTAACAAACCTACTCATCAAAATAAAGAAGAAAAACATAAAGTCTCAGTAAACACAAAATCTACAAAAACAAAAGAAAGAAACAAACAAAATGAATCCACAAATAAAAGAAATCCAGCACAGGAGAGTAAGAGGAACAAAGAAAATGTTGGCACCACAAAATAAAAGCACTACAAAATGACAGCAATAAACTCACACCTAGCAATAATTACACTGAATGTCAACGGCTTAAATGCACCCATAAAGAGACAGAGAGTGACAGAATGGATAAAAAGGCAGGACCCATCAATGTGCTGTCTACAAGAGACACATCTTAGAAACACAGACATAAATATATTAAAAAATCAAAGAATGGAAAAAAATATATCAAGCAAACAGCCATGAAAAAAGAGCAGGAGTGGCAATACTAATCTCAGATAAAGTAGACTTTAAAACAAAATCCACCATAAAAGACATAGAAGGACATTATATAATGATTAAAGAGACAATCCACCATGAAGACATAACCATAATAAATATCTACGCACCCAATGACAGGGCTCCAAAATACATAAACTCTAACAGCACTTAAAAGAGAAATTGACAGTTCCATAATAACAGTAGGAGACTTCAACACACCACTCTCTGTAAAGGACAGAACATCTAGAAAGAAACTCAACAAAGATACAGAAGATCTAAAGGCCACGATCAACCAACTTGACCTCATAGACATATACAGAACACGCCACACAACAGCAGCAAAGTACACATTCTTTTCTACTGCACATGAAACGCTCTCCAGAATAGACCACATCTTAGGCCACAAAGCAACTCTCAACAAAATCCAAAACACTGAGATAATACAAAGTGCCTTCTCTGATCACATTGCCATAAAAGTAGAAATTAGCAACAGGAAGAGCAAGGAAGAAAAATCAAATACATGGAAAATGAATAACACCCTGCTTAAAAACCACTGGATAACAGAAGAAATCAAATATGGAATCAAAAAATTCTTAGAATCAAATAAGAATGAAAACACATCATACCAAAACCTTTGGGAATGAAAACACATCATACCAAAACCTTTGGGACACAGCAAAGGCAGTGCTCAGAGGTCAATTTATAGCAATAGATACACACATTAAAAAAGAAGAAAGGGATAAAATGAAAGCATTAGCTACACAACTAAAACAAATAGAAGAATAGCAAAAGAAGCCCACAACCACCAGAAGAAAGGAAATAATAAAGATCAGAGCAGAAATAAATGAAATAGAGAATAGAAAAACAATAGAAAGAACCAAGAAGACCAAAAGTTGGTTCTTTGAAAGGATCAACAAAATCAACAAACCACTGGCCAAATTGACAAAAGAAAAATAGGAGAGGAAACAAATAACACAAATAAGAAATAGAATAGGGGACATTACAACAGGCCCAACTGAAATAAAAAGGATCATAACAGAGTACTATGGAAAATTATACTCCAAAAAATATAAAAACCTGGAAGAAACTGACAAATTTCTAGAAACACACTACCTACTCAAACTAACACAAACCAAAGCTGAATATCTGAACAGATCTTTAAGAAGAGAAGAGATTGAAAATTTAATTTTAAAAACTCCCAACCAAAAGATGGCTTCACTGGAGAATTCTACCAAACATTCAGAGAAAAGCTTACACCAGTACTACTCAAACTATTTCAGAAAATAGAAAAGGAAGGGATACTTCCCAATTCATTCTATGAAGCCAGCATAACCCTGATAACAAAACCAGGAAAAGACATGACAAAAAAAGAAAATTACAGACAAGTATCTCTCATGAATATAGACACAAACATTCTCAACAAAATTGTAGCCAATAGAATTCAGCATCATATCAAAAAAGTAATACACCACAACCAAGTAGGATTTATACCAGGTATGCAAGGATGGTTCACCATTACAAAATCAATCAACATAATCCACCATATAAATAAGAGAAAAGAAAAGAATCACATGATCATCTCAATTGATGCAGAAAAGGCATTCGACAAAGTCCAATACCCATTTCTGATAAAAACTCTCAATAAAATATGTATAGAAGGCAAATTCCTCAACATAATAAAGGGCATCTATACAAAACCAACAGCCAACATCATTCTTAATGCAGAGAGGCTGAAATTATTCCCCTTGAGAACAGGAACAAGACAAGATTGCCCTTTATCACCACTTCTATTTAACATTGTGCTGGAAGTCCTAGCTGGAGTAATAAGGCAAGAAAAAGAAACAAAGGGCATCCAAATTGGTGAGGAAGAAGGATAACTGTCCCTATTTGTGGTTGATATGATACTATGCATACAGAACCCAAAAGACTCCACGAGAAAACTACTGGAACTAACAGAAAGATTCAGCAGAGTAGCAGGATACAAGATAAACAAAAATCAGTTGGATTCCTATATACTAATAAAGAGAACAATGAAAAG